ATATATATTTTTTTTTTTGGTGAGGAAGATCGGCCCTGAGCTAACATCCATTGCCAATCTTCCTCTTTTTGTATGTGGGACGCCGCCACAGCATGGCTTGCCACGCGGTGTGCAGGTCCATGCCTGGGATCCGAACCCATGAACCCCAGGCTGCTGAAGCAGAGTGCACAAACTTAGCCACTATGCCACCAGGCCGGCCCCCACTAGACAATGTTAAGAGATAGAAAATATAATGGAGAAAGAAATATTGTTTCTTAAAACCCAAGACTGACACATCTACTATCTCCTAGCACATCTTGCCCACACTCTTACAATCATCTTCTAACTGATCTCCTTGCTTCCAGTTTTTTCTGCTTCTGGTCCAAAAGGCACCAAATGCCAGGTAAATGTGTCTAAAGCCCTATTTTAGTCATCTCCACGCTATTCACAAATTCTCCAAAGATTTTGTCCTGTCAAAAAGATTAACCTCAGTTTCCTTAGCCTGATATTCAAGGCCCTCTACAATATCACTTCAAATTTGCTCTCTATTCTTACTGCAGATTATTTCCATAAACTCTTCTTTAGCCTTACTGGTTTACAGATTTATTCCAAACACGATCTCTGTAAATTCTCTCCAACTCTTTGTGTCAATCAACCTGGAATCTCCTTCTCCTCTTTGCCAATCCTAATTCTACCCTTCTTTTAGGATCAGGCTCAAATCCCACCTCATCTGAACGTCATTTCCTTCCACAGCCTGACGTGTTCTCACTATTTCATGAATTTTTCTAACATTAAGTAACTGAACCTTAAATTATCAATGAATGTGCCCTGTGCTGTCATCTCTGTTGCTATCTTTTTGTGTGTGTGTGTGAGGAAGATCAGCCCTGAGCTAACATCTGCCAATCCTCCTCTTTTTGCTGAGGAAGACTGGCCCTGGGCTAACATCTTTGCCCATCTTCCTCCACTTTATATGGGACGCCGCCACAGCATGGCTTGCCAAAGCAGTGCGTCGGTGCGCGCCCGGGATCCGAACCAGCGAACCCTGGGCCGCCGCAGCGGAGTGTGCGCACCCAACCGCTTGCACCACCGGGCCGGCCCCAACAGTTGTATTTTTTACTTAATTTTTTATTATGGTGGAACAAGCACTAATTTAGTGTCATTCGATCAAAATCATTTGTGAATATGAATAGTTAATAATAATAATATATCTTGTTTAAGAATAATATTAACATATTAATAAATAGGAAAGTTGGAAATTGCCTGAGAACACAAGCACAAGCAGGACACACACACACACACACAGTTTTTGCACTTTTCAAGAATATGGAGCTTGCCACCTCCTTCCCCCCAGTTTACTTTACCTTTGTCAGAAGCCATGGCGTTCTGTCGCTGGACTTTTTCCCCTGGAGCTATATATTGTGCTGATTGCTCCTGCCAGCAGCATGCCTGAGCATTGTTTCTTCAGGTGTGACCACCTCCACCTGCTTGGGCAGAAGATGATTCATTCCTGAGTCTCAGGCAGTCACTGCCTGTCCAGACTGTACAAACAGGTAGCAGATTAAGAGGGAAACTGGTGTGGGGATTTGCATCAACGGTTGATAAGAAAGCTTAGGATGCAAATGACATTAATCCTGTAGCGTAGATCACAGGATATCTGAAATCCAAAGCTCTTCCCTGGTAACATCTGAATTTAGTAACCTTTCCCTTTCCTTTAAATTAAAGTGAAGGCAAAACTGATTTCTCATTCTTTATTGGAGAGGAGAGAGGAAGAACAAAGGGAAGAGAGAATTAACCTGTTTCTATAACCTGAGGTTTTCATGTTACCGGTAAAAACTCTGTGGCCTTGCCCTTTAAGTGTTATTCACTTATTTCTAACTTCCTCTTATGTTGCTCTTTGCCCCAAATTCTGTTGGAAAGGGGAGGGGCACTGTTAAATGGAAAATCAGAAGGACTTTGGCCTCTGAGTTAGATAATGAGTGTACAAGTCTTTTTTTGCATGTGTGAGGAAGATTAGCCCTGAGCTAACATCTGTTGCCAATCTTCCTCTTTTTGCCTGAGGAAGATGGTCCCTGAGCTAACATCTGTTGCCAATCTTCCTCTTTTTGCCTGAGGAAGATGGTCCCTGAGCTAACATCTGTTGCCAATCTTCCTCTTTTTGCCTGAGGAAGATGGTCCCTGAGCTAACATCTGTTGCCAATCTTCCTCTTTTTGCCTGAGGAAGATGGTCCCTGAGCTAACATCTGTTGCCAATCTTCCTCTTTTTGCCTGAGGAAGATGGTCCCTGAGCTAACATCTGTTGCCAATCTTCCTCTTTTTGCCTGAGGAAGATGGTCCCTGAGCTAACATCTGTTGCCAATCTTCCTCTTTTTGCCTGAGGAAGATGGTCCCTGAGCTAACATCTGTTGCCAATCTTCCTCTTTTTGCCTGAGGAAGATGGTCCCTGAGCTAACATCTGTGCCCATCTTCCTCTATTTTTTGTATGTGGGACGCTGCCTCAGCATGGCTTGATGAGTGGTGTGTAGGTCTGTGCCTGGGATCCAAACCCAAAAACCCTGGGCTGCCGAAGCAGAGCACACAAACTTAACCACTATGCCACTGGGCCAGCCCCAGAATGCACAAATCTTGATTGATCTCTCTTCCTTCTTGAAGCTAAGGTTAAGTGTATGGTCAAGTCCATTTCTGCTTTTTTATCCTTCTTGAGAAAGTGAATGCTATCCTCCCTATTGCCTCCCTATGCCTCTCTATGGCCTGAACCCTCTAAGTATCAGCACACACTCCCAGAATTGAGGTCACTCTCAAGACCTAAGGCTTCCTCTAAGATCTCAATTCTAGAGCCCCTGAACTTTGGATCTCAAACCCCATGAAAGCAAAGCCTGAGCCCTAAAGGTGCGACTTGACTTAATTATGAAAATCAAGCTGGAGACTCCACAAAATGAAGCAGTTGTTTGGAGTGTCAGGTGAGAATTTCATAGAAGAGGCCAAAGTCCCACATCATAAATGAAGATCCTTCAGAAGCCAGGAGTTTCAAAGTTACCCATGTGTGGGAGGTAGAATGATGGCCCCCGCAAAGGTGTCCATCCCCTAATCCCCAGAATCTATGTTATTTACAATGGCAAAAAGGACTTTGCAGACGTGATTAAGGTAAGGATCTTGAGGTAGGGAGATTATCCTGGATCATCTGGGTGGTCCCAATCTAATCACAACAGTCCTTATAAGAGGGAGGCAGAAGAGTCAGAGTCACAGAAGGACCTGTGAAGACGGGAAGCAGAGATCTGAGTGATGTGATTACTGTCTGGAAGGGGCCAGGATTCAAGGAATGACAGCAGCCTCTTAGAAGCTGGAAAAGGCAAGGAAATGGACTATCTCCTAGAGCCTCTTAAAGAAATGCTGCCCTGATGACACCTTGACTTTAGCACAGGGAGACCCTATTTTGTACTTCTGACCTGCAGAGCTGTAAGATAGTTTATGTTGTTTTACACCACTACATTTGTGGTAATTTGTTACAGCAGCAATAGGAAACGAGTACAGTGAGACATACCCACGAGAGGCACATATGCAATATTTAGGGCAGTGTATAATTTAAATTTGTTTCCACTAGAATTCCTATTTTATACTTGATTCATCTTCTGTTTTGTTGTAGAAAACTCAGAACTGTCACATATGATAGACTATCATGACATTAATTATTTGTAAGAGATGTAGAAGATAATCAACTACAAAATATAACTATTCAGTTTAGGTCAATGTCTTGCTCCTGGAAATTTATGAGTCTTGAAAAATGTATACGTATACTTATACAACCACTCAATATAATCAAGATACTTGAGATTCTTATCACCCAAAAAAGTTCTCTGTGTCTATTTGCAGTCAATCCTCCTACTCCCAGTCCCAGGCAACTACTGATATTTTTGTCACTATAGATTAGTTTGGACTGTTGTATAATTTCATACAAATGGAATCATACATCGGGGCCAACCCGGTGGTGCAAGCAGTTAAGTGCGCGCACTCTGCTGCGGCGGCCCGGGGTTCGCCGGTTCAGATCCTGGGCGCGCACCG